GGACACTAAAATCCTTGCCATTGGGCAAGACACTTAACCCCACTTTGCCCAAAGCCCCCACTGAAAGATCAAGGCTATGCTCACACTCAGAGAGCAGCCGTCCTCCTGTGGACTCACCACCTGCAGAGGGTCAGTGAGGGGCTGGTGCTATGAGACTTGGGTGGCATCTCTGACTGCCACCCCCCTGACCCAGAAATGGATTAAAGGGTAGAAAATGGATGGATGGATGGCAAGGAACACTAAAATCCCCACAAAATCCAAGATCTTTATGAAAGCTGTAGGTTCTCTGTCAGATTCTCTGTCAGGTTCTCTGTCAGGTTCTCTGTCAGGTTCTCTGTCAGGTTCTCTGTCAGGTTCTCTGTCAGGTTCTCTGTCAGGTTCTCTGTCAGCTGAGGTCGAGCTGCACTCTGGACTGCAAGATAAGAAGAGGAGACAAGGTCTTTTGACTTAGTCCCACACATGGAGACACCTATGGTGAATGAGAAGATTGTCCTCCAAGACAGAGTTCAAGAGGTCATCATTGCCACATCTGTTTTAGTGTGTCAGGTGTATATCTAAATACAACATTTGCTAAACTGTTTTGACCCACGCAAGGACATTGAATGAATGAAAACGCCTGAGGCCAAACATTGTGTGGTTACAAAACATGCTGGAACAGAATAAGTCTAAGTGCAGTGTTGATGTGGACCCATCAACACTGCAGCCTTCTGGTAAGAAAACTAACAAAACATTTTAGACTGAGGGAGAATTGTGGTCTGCATTCGAGCCTGGCATGAGTCCACAAAAGCTGTTTTGGCAGGTCTTTTCTTACAGAATGTTTTAATCATACAAAGGAAAATTGACAACTAGTTTTCGAGCCAAATTCATGGTGACTGTGATTTTCATGGTGCTAGAGGGCAAGTCCCACTGCAGAGTCCTTAATACGCTGTCACCATATAGGCAAAAAACCACAACTAAAACCAAACCATTTCAACAAATATTCACACAACATTGTCCATTTGTCCTTTCTCTACACTTTGTCATCGGTAGAAGTTAGAAGCTAGATGTGAAAACTTTGCTGTAGCTTTGCTTGTGAACTATAATAAGTATAAACTGGATACTGTGACGGAAAGCTGTATTGAAGTTATCAGCGAGTAATAATCTCAGCCCTTAAATCACCATGACGTTTGGTTGGTTTTGCATGAAGCCACTTCTCAAATAGTTTACGGTTTACTTTGACAAGCTTAGACATGCGGCTGATGTGCACTTAAACATGGAGCAAATCAAACCCAGGCTCAGCAGAAGATTGTAAGTGCAGGAAAATGAGGCCAGGGGTAAAGCAGTGAAAATATAATCATTACAAGTAGATAGACATTCCATAAGGCGTCACAACCCCCGGTCTGTCCAGAGTGAAGAAGAAAATAGTTATTAGCTTGGGTTTTCAGGTTCAATTCATATGGTTTAGACGACAGAAGAGAGAGAGAGAGAGATGTGTTGGTATAAACTCTTTGAAAAAACACCAGTCAGCCACGCTTCTCCATACAATACAAAACAATACAATTTATTCTTGTATTCTTAGGTTTCATATGACGTCAGGGCAGTGGTGAGAATAACAAACGTAGGACAGGACGTGACGTATCCTGGCGGTGCAGTCTGCCGGGTTTATACACGGAGATATAGTAGAAGAAGAAGCTCTGTCAAAACGCCATCTTTTTGTGCGGTGTACGCTTGTAGCAACCGCACAAAAAGAGAAAGACCAGAGTTTGTTCATGTTCCAACTGTGGTCTCATATAAAGGAGGACACTTTGAAAAAATCACTGGAATGAGGCGGGCGAGGTGGATCAAGGCTTTCCCAGATAAGCGCCCCCTGCAGGCCACCCCAATGAAACGCAGACATTTCTTTCTGCTTTTCTTTACAAAAATGCCCGAAATCAAGACTCTTTTGAGAAATATTTTTAGTACTCCCTTAGAATTGAGTGTCCCCGATTAACAACAACCGTACAACAACCGTACACCGCACAGGAGGAGAGCCTTTGGACTCCAAACAGACTTTACATGGTTTTTAATGGGAGCAAAACCGTCCCACCTCTGCTCATGCGCCCCCTACAGGCCAGTTTAATGAAACCCAAGAATAGCCTTAAATTACAGCAGCAGTCATTCATCAGTCATTCTTCATTGGCGAGATATAGTCATTTTCATTGCATTTAAACGTCTACATCGCCAGCCGTTTTTCATTTGTATCCATTGTCTAAGAGTGTTTGGGCCTTTTGTTATTATGCTTGATCTCGAGGGCCATTGTGATCCCACGAGCGGGATGTAATTATTGAAAACACTAAACAAAACACAGTGGAGGACCTTATGCTTGTAAATAATAGACAATCCTACCTCCACTTTATGAATTATACATTTCTAGACAAGCATTCACATCTGTTTTCTCCGTGCTGGTAGAACTATGGCGCCAAGTGAGCTTGTTTTTTCTCGAGGAGGTAATTTGTGTGATTAATTTCATACAGTAGAAGTATTTGTGTAGCTCTATACGTGCATGGGGAGTTTGTCTGAATTAATGCATGTGCTGATTGCCTTTGGGTTTAAAAAGGCTCTGAGTGTATGGAACCTAGATGTTAGTTTAATATTGAAACAAGAGGTATTGCTTTTGTGTTTAACCAGGTCTATTTTTGCATAAATCTGCAAGATATTGATTAGGTTTAATATATATATTAGTGCTGTCCAACGATTAAAATATTTAATCGCGATTAATCGCATGAATTTCATAGTTAACTCGCGATTAATCGCAAATTAGTCACCCATTGTGCAATTGGGTGCAATTTCTTTTTTTATTGAAAACAATGTGTAGTGTTATATTACACACTAACATTTGATGCAAAATCATCAATAAATGGATGACAAAATAAATAATTGGTAACAAAAAGCCCCTTCAATGTGTGTGTGTGTGTGTGGAGTGTGTGTGTTTATGGGTGTGGGTGTGTGTGTGTGTGTGGGTGTGTGTGTGTATGTGTGGGTATAGACCATAGACTGTATAGAAACATCATGGTGTCATTATGATGATGATAAACAATTTTTTTGTAAATTTGTTCATGTAAATACTCTATAGTGTTTCTCTGTTTACTTTCGGTATATCTATGACTGTATACTGTTTGCTTGTATTGCCTTTTTTATTAACCCCTCCCCCCCATCTCCCACTTCATGTCCCCCCCCCCCCCCCTCCTATGTGCCCTTCTGGGTTTCTTCTTTGGCCCCCTGTATCTCCAACTACATATTGTTTGTAATCTCTGTCTACAATGTATCTTAACTAGTCCTTTTCTTTGTGTCTATTTTTTTTTTCTGTATATGTGTTTGTCTGCAATAAAAAGTAAAAAAAAAAAAAAAATAAATTTGTTTTTTTTTTTTTTTTTTTTAATAATTATAAAAAAAATTAATGGCGATAAAAAAAATGACGCCGTTAATATTGATTTGCGTTAACGCGTTAATAACGCGATATTTTGGACAGCACTAATATATATATATATACAGTAAGGCAATGGACTTCACCTTTTTATTTCCCCACTGTGAGATTATAAACATTCATAGACAGACACAGCGTGTTCTTTCACTCCATACAATGTGGAAGTACATATCGTAACACAAAGCCATGTCACAAGTTCAGTAATTAATATTTATATCATGCATTTTCCAGACCAAGGTCACAATAAGAGCCCTACTATTTTGTGTTTTCAGTATTTCCCAGAACACTCTATATACTCACGGTGATGACGGACTCAAGACGCTGAAAACACAGCACATCAAAGCCCCTCACCATTTCACCATCTCATCTCATCACACTCATTAATATTGCATCTGATCTTAGTGGTAGGGGAAGCCGGGGCACCTGGAGGAAATCTATGCAGACACAAGGAGAACATGCAAACTCCACACACCTCCTCACACTGCCTTCAATGTACTGTAGTGCTTTCACTAGTTTTCACATGTTTCTGTCAATTCTTTAGATCTGCTTTTCTACAAACATAAGCGTGGAAAAGAGAAATTCAATCCGAAAAAATCAACCAATCAGATCTCAGCCCAAAGCATCAGATCGTGACTCACAAGTCTCTTTCTTCCAATTAGGTTTTCAACTACGATGAAGACAGAATGTGGTTGTCTGAAAAGTCACCACAGCTGTTTTACTCAGAAAAGACTGGGTGAGAAAAGACGGCTTCTCCACTTCCTCTGACGGACTGAAGCCTTCGTCTGCATTATTCACTGTAGGTCTCTGGAGTCCACTGTCTGCTCTGACCCACAGCAGCACCGGGCTCTGAAAGCAAATCTACCGCCTTTGTCTGCACTTCATTAGGGAGCACTCAGCAGAGAAATGTCATGTTAAAAAATTGAAAATGAAAACCAGTGTAAGAATAATGTATCAAACTAACCAAATTCACTTAAAATCAGCGATAAAATAAGAACCGATTGCGATAGATGATAGATAGATGTAATGGCTTTGCTTAAAATGTTGTTGGGTTTAGTAAAAGAGCAGATATCGCACACCAAAAAATGCATCAATAATGTGCCGATGCCAGAATCAACATTTCAGAAAACATCTTTGCACACTCAGCTCACATGACCAAAACATTTTATTTATTCATGACGTTTCGGCTTGTTTTTTTTTACCACAACATTCTTTTACATTCTGGTGAAGGTATAAAGCCAAAACATCATGGATACATACCCTGTTTTCTGAAAGTTTGGTTTGGTTATTCCATGAGGTTTTGCATATTTAATGCATATGCATATATAAGCATATTCCTAATTTTAGTCTTCCTGTTACCTACAATGGCAATGCACATTATTCTGATTCCAAATTCAGGCCATTACTGACTCACAACTTTCAAGTAAAACAAAAGGCCTCTAGAATTGTAAACAGAACACATACATTATAACTGTGACATTAGGACTGCTTCTTTCCCAACATTGCAGTATATACAGTATGTGCAAAACAAAGCCTTATTATTTACTTCTGGCTCTCTTACCTTGGCGATCTGCACACACCAGTTGAGCAGCAGCTGAGAGCCGATGTTGTCCTTGTGCTCGTGGACGTAGTCGAGGAGGCAGCCGTGGGGCATGAGCTGCGTGACCAGCTGAATGGTGGGGCTCAAACACACGCCCAGCAGACGCACCAGGTGAGGATGCTCCATACTGGCCATGATCAGGGCCTCCTAGGCACAAAGCACACACTCAGACGGAGAAACGCACCAGCAGAACACAACATTATACATTACTGCATTTTTTAGTTTAAAGGTCTCAAAACTAAACCACAAATTGGCCTCACTCAAGCCCCAGTGATCCAAGATGGCGCCTTATTCAGTAGAGCATGGGACTTCACAGTCGCTGACATATCAGAGGAACTCGCCTATATTTGGGCATTGTCTGGTCCTCTCGGTTCTGCACAGTGGACGAGCTCCCATGATGCGCTGCGCCAAATACACGTGTGTGGCTCTCATGCACGCGCACAGAGGGGCTTGGCCGCGCTCTGACCAATCAGAGCTGCTGATCAGAGCAGCAGCAGAGCGGAGTCAGAGCGGGAAGGAAAGGAGCAAAGTTTGTGGCAGTAAAGTGTGGATTTAAAGTAAACCGAAGGATTTAAGAAGAAAAAACGTTCAGGACGACAAGGGACACTAACATCCCCACAAAATCTGATCTTTATGAAAGCTGTAGGTTCTCTGTCAGGTTCTCTGTCAGGTTCTCTGTTAGGTTCTCTGTTAGGTTCTCTGTCAGGTTCTCTGTCAGGTTCTCTGTCAGGTTCTCTGTCTGGTTCTCTGTTAGGTTCTCTGTTAGGTTCTCTGTTAGGTTCTCTGTCAGGTTCTCTGTCAGGTTCTCTGTTAGGTTCTCTGTCAGGTTCTCTGTCAGGTTCTCTGTCAAGTTCTCTGTCAGGTTCTCTGTCAAGTTCTCTGTCAGGTTCTCTGTCAGGTTCTCTGTTAGGTTCTCTGTTAGGTTCTCTGTCAGGTTCTCTGTCAGGTTCTCTGTCAGGTTCTCTGTCAGGTTCTCTGTTAGGTTCTCTGTTAGGTTCTCTGTCAGGTTCTCTGTCAGGTTCTCTGTTAGGTTCTCTGTCAGGTTCTCTGTCAGGTTCTCTGTCAAGTTCTCTGTCAGGTTCTCTGTCAAGTTCTCTGTCAGGTTCTCTGTCAGGTTCTCTGTCAGGTTCTCTGTCAGGTTCTCTGTCAGGTTCTCTGTCAGGTTCTCTGTCAGGTTCTCTGTCAGGTTCTCTGTCAGCTGAGGTCGAGCTGTTTTAGTTTACATTGAGATTTATGGGACTTTTTTCTGGGTAGCCCTCGTGAAGTTAGTCTGCAGTACCACAGCGCCCCCTGTGTCCGTGGGTGGGACAGCTATAAGCTAGTAATACCCTATCCAGTTATTATTATAGATCCATGGCCTCACTAAATTCAGTTAAAGTTGAATTCCATGAAAAAACAACTGTTTTTGTGCAATGTCTTTCTTATCTGGACCTCATGTCTGTCATAAAGTTTAATAATAATAATAACAAAGAGTAGACAATGAGACACCATGTGATTTATGAATGAAAAGGTTAATTCAACTGGTGGATCAAGTTAATTTGATTTTTAATTTTGTATTTCTTAGTACACCTTTTATTCAATACCACAAAAATGGAGACGAAATGATGAAATACAAAAAGCAACAAAGAAACAAAAGGAGCAGGGACGACTGGACATGTGACAGGAAACAAGGAAACATTTTATTTTATCACATGTTTTCTTATTTAAATACAGTAATTAGTCAAATTATGTCAATGTTGGTCGACAAGAACATCATAGTCGACTGATTAAACAACTTAACTAAAGTCTGTCAGCTTTTTTTAGGACAGTAAAGAGATCACTGAAATCAAGACTATTTACTGTTTCAATTCTGTTAAGATTATTAGATTAAGATCAACGGAATAATATGCAGTGAAACTTTTACAGTCATATTTTGAAGACTAAAAACTAAATTTATTTCAGTAATAATTATTTCAGACTCAAGATAAAATTGGTCCATACAAAATAAAAATAAAAATAAAAAAAGGACAATGCATTCAAATGTGTAGAATCATTAAAGGGCCCTAATCTATCATAATTAAAGGGCCCTAATCAGTCATCATTAAAGGGCCCTAATCAGTCATCATTAAAGGGCCCTAGTCTGTCATCATTAAAGGGCCCTAATCTGTCATCATTAAAGGGCCCTAATCTGTCATCATTAAAGGGCCCTAATCTGCCATCATTAAAGGGCCCTAATCTGCCATCATTAAAGGGCCCTAATCTGTCATCATTAACCCTTCAAGGTCTAAGCTCATTTTGGGGAACTTTCCTCGCCTGGTTTTCTTTGTGTATAATTGCTCATAAAACAGTCATCTTGTGATGCAGAGTCAAGCAGTAAACTTTGTTTTTTTCAGTACAGCCTGTGGATTTATAATATTCATAGTGTACAGCTGTCATATGAATTATATAAAAAATATGGAATCATGAAGACAAAAAAAAAATGAAACGGAAATTCAATTTCACCAAAATGTTTTGAAAAACCCAATGAAATGCTATTGCTAACTTTTTACACTGTTTAGAAATGTTATTTAGGGTATTTGGGATGATGGGGGAAAAAATTGAACCTGTGACTATTATAATTTTTACAAAATTCCACTACAAGTGAAAAAAACGCTGTACTCCTGATGCCCTTCCTCAAGCAGTTTGTCTATGTCTATATATTGCTTCAGTATTGCATCTGAAAGATATGTAAAACAAACAAAAAAAAACTAAGACAACAAAGAAAGAAAAACAACATCTTATATTTATATACATTATATACACATCATATCATTATACTGTATTTATTACTGTCAATAATAAATATATAATATAATTACATCAATAATGCGCACTTTTCAGCCAGGTGCTGGCTCTTGTGAGCGCTGCATCTGCGTCTCCTCCTATCTTTGTGTAATGCACTTTCAAGCCCAGACTCTGAACACACACATCACTCGCAGATCACGTAGTTCAGTGATCAAAAGCTACATTAGCTGTGTCGGGGACGCATTTTCGTAACATTCCGCTAAAATAATGCGTATTTTAGGCATCAGTAATTGCAATCGCAGCTGTAATTTCAATTATGGGACGATAAATACACACAGGAGAGTGAATCATCCTACTCTCTGACAATCTTTGGCAGTCCCTGTGTCAGCGTGTGAGCAAAATAACTTTACTGTTTTGACTGTTTTACCTCACGGGAGACCGCTCGAAGATCCGATTGGACACCGACTTTCAAACACACGTAGAAAATCCCCCACAAGTCACACAGACAAAACAAAACTAGCGCTGTAATGCCTGAAATGTGTACTTCACGGAGAAAAAAAAAGTAAGTCGCTACGTTTAGCCGTTCATGAGAAAATTTAACATTTATAAAACATGTGCGCAGGCATCAGATCCGATGCTCTAGACCCCAGAGGGTTAAAGGGCCCTAAAATGTCATCATTAAAGGGCCCTAATCAGTCATAATTAAAGGGCCATAATCTGTCATCATTAAAGGCCCCTAATCTGTCAACATTAAAGGGCCCTAATCTGTAATCATTAAAGGGCCCTAATCTGTCATCATTAAAGGGCCCTAATCTGTCATCATTAAAGGGCCCTAATATGCCATAATTAAAGGGCCCTAATCTGTCATCATTAAAGGGCCCTAATCTGTCAATAAATAAGTGACACAAATCACAGCAGAACAAGTTCAAAGCGGATGTTCTGAGTGTTAAGACTAGACCACATCTCCAAAGATCACACGAGCCTCATTCTGTTTTAGCCTCTACTTTCTCCCAAACGGAGTCAGGAAGAGCCCAAATGTATCATAATTAAAGGGCCCTAATCAGTCATAATTAAAGGGCCCTAATCAGTCATCATTAAAGGGCCCTAATATGTCATCATTGAAGGGCCCTAATCTGTCATCATTAAAGGGCCCTAATCTGTCATCATTAAAGGGCCCTAATCTGTCATCATTAAAGGCCCCTAGTCTGTCATCATTAAAGGGCCCTAATCTATCATAATTAAAGGGCCCTAATCAGTCATCATTAAAGGGCCCTAATCAGTCATCATTAAAGGGCCCTAGTCTGTCATCATTAAAGGGCCCTAATCTGTCATCATTAAAGGGCCCTAATCTGTCATCATTAAAGGGCCCTAATCTGCCATCATTAAAGGGCCCTAATCTGCCATCATTAAAGGGCCCTAATCTGTCATCATTAACCCTTCAAGGTCTAAGCTCATTTTGGGGAACTTTCCTCGCCTGGTTTTCTTTGTGTATAATTGCTCATAAAACAGTCATCTTGTGATGCAGAGTCAAGCAGTAAACTTTGTTTTTTTCAGTACAGCCTGTGGATTTATAATATTCATAGTGTACAGCTGTCATATGAATTATATAAAAAATATGGAATCATGAAGACAAAAAAAAAATGAAACGGAAATTCAATTTCACCAAAATGTTTTGAAAAACCCAATGAAATGCTATTGCTAACTTTTTACACTGTTTAGAAATGTTATTTAGGGTATTTGGGATGATGGGGGAAAAAATTGAACCTGTGACTATTATAATTTTTACAAAATTCCACTACAAGTGAAAAAAACGCTGTACTCCTGATGCCCTTCCTCAAGCAGTTTGTCTATGTCTATATATTGCTTCAGTATTGCATCTGAAAGATATGTAAAACAAAAAAAAAAAAACTAAGACAACAAAGAAAGAAAAACAACATCTTATATTTATATACATTATATACACATCATATCATTATACTGTATTTATTACTGTCAATAATAAATATATAATATAATTACATCAATAATGCGCACTTTTCAGCCAGGTGCTGGCTCTTGTGAGCGCTGCATCTGCGTCTCCTCCTATCTTTGTGTAATGCACTTTCAAGCCCAGACTCTGAACACACACATCACTCGCAGATCACGTAGTTCAGTGATCAAAAGCTACATTAGCTGTGTCGGGGACGCATTTTCGTAACATTCCGCTAAAATAATGCGTATTTTAGGCATCAGTAATTGCAATCGCAGCTGTAATTTCAATTATGGGACGATAAATACACACAGGAGAGTGAATCATCCTACTCTCTGACAATCTTTGGCAGTCCCTGTGTCAGCGTGTGAGCAAAATAACTTTACTGTTTTGACTGTTTTACCTCACGGGAGAC